GATTCGATTTGAAAAAATCAAATCAAATTCAAATTGCTTAAATATTTGATTCGATTCGATTTTGAGGAACCCTAAATCTAATATTAATATTAATATGATAAATTTATATTTAGAAAAATAGGATTTTGTTTAAATTGTAATCAAGAAAATATTGGATATAAATGGTGTAAAGAATGTAATATTATTCTTTTTCAACAAAATTTTTCTAATTGGACTAGTAAAAATAAATTTATTGATAAATATATTCAAGAAACTCAACTAAATGCTTATAATAAAATGCAAATATTAGAATGGATTCCTTATAATAGACTTAAATATATTAAATATCTTGATAAAGGAGGATTTAGTATTATATATAAAGCAATCTGGTTAGATGGATTTATTAAATATTATTCTTATAAGTATAAAAAATGGATTAGAAATAATAATACAAGTATAATTCTTAAAGTTTTAAATAATTCATCAAACTTAAATGAAGAATTTTTAAATGAGGTATGTAAATAATAATTTATTATTACAGCTATTTTCATAATTTCTAAACTATTAATAAATTGAGACTAAATGCGATTAAATGTGACTGAAAATTTATTATAATTCAGAAATTATAAAAATAGCTATAATTTAAAAATAATTTTTTAAATAATTTTTATTTTATTTAGTGTAAAATCCATTATAAATGTTATATTAAATCTAAGAAATATTCGGATCAAAATCTGATTAGATTATATGGATTTACTCAAGATCCAAAAACTTTAGATTATATTATAATTATGAATTATGCAAATTATGGCAGTTTAAAAAACAATTTAAAAAATCTAATTAATGAAACATGGATGAATAAATTATTAAAATTAAATAGTATTATTAGTGGACTTAAAGAAATCCATCAACAAAATTATATTCATTGTGATTTACATCATGGAAATATTTTAAATACTTTAGGAAATCTTTATTCTATTAGTGATTTAGGATTAAGTAAACCTATAGAATATTATCAATTACCATTTAAAAAACATAATATTTATGGTATTTTACCATTTATAGCACCTGAAATTTTAAATGAACAACCTTACACTTTAGCTAGTGATATTTATAGTTTTTCTATAATTATGTGGGAAATAATATCTGGAGTTATTCCATTTAAAAATGAAGCTTATGATTTTCACCTTTGTTTAGATATTTGTAAAGGTAGACGTCCTGAAATTATTAAAAATACTCCACAATGTTATATAGATTTGATGAAAAAATGTTGGAATATAAATCCATTAAAAAGACCAACAGCATTAGAAATTCATAATATTATTAAAAGTTGGTGTAATAATATTATTATTATAAATTTTGATAAAAATTTAAAAAATGATATTATAGAGTTTTATAAAGCAGATAAATTTTTAAAACAAAATTTAAAATTAAAACAAAATAATATTTTACTTCATATAACATCTCATATGCAAGTAAATCAAACAAGTTGCTTACTTGATTTTACTGAAAAATTAAAGGAAGAATTAAATAAAAAAGAAAAAGAAGAAGTAATATTTATTCAAAGTGAAGAATTTGAAAATAAATTATAATAATATAAATTAATAAATATTAATATTATAATTATTATAAATCAATTCTATATTTATATATTATTCATATTATTCTGTACTATTATTTAAAATATAAGATATTGAAAATTTAAACTTATTTATTTTATTATATATTGATAATATAAATTTTTACTCAATAATTTTTTACATTTTTATTTATTTTTTATTTTAATTATAAATAAAGTTTTTTACACTTATTAGGGTTCTGCAATTCGATTTAATATTTGAATATTTGAAAATTAAATCAAATCAAATACAAATTCAAATTTATATTTTATTGAATGTAATCAAATTTAAATCAAAAATAATTTATTTGATTTAATCTTTGATTCAATTCAATCAAATTCAAACCAATAGTAAAGCAATCTCCAATGCTTTAGAGGTAGTTTTTACTAAGAAAACTATAGTAAAAAGTATTTTAAAAATGCTTTTATTACTAAGAAAAATATGCTTTATAGTAGTATTCTGCAAAAAATCTGATTTAATCTGAATCTAATCTGGATCTGATAGATCAAATCAAATCGGATTTATCAGATTCGAATCAGATTCAGATCTAGATTTTGATTTGAATCAATCCATCAGATTTGAATTAGATTTGGATTTGGATTTGATTCAATCTGATGGATTTGGATTTGGATTTGGATTCAGATTCAATCTGTCAGATTCAGATTTGGATTCAGATCTGATTTGTTAGGTTTAAAATAAAAAATGTCACCCTGAAGTCAGACGTGACATTTATTATAAAAAAATATAATTTTTAATAATACAATGCCACCTTAAAGTCAGAGGGAGGAGGAAAATCAGTATGGTACGGTTTGGCTGATCAGTATGGTACGATCATGCAGATCAGTACGATCCTCCAAATTTTGATTGTACCGTACTGGTTCTATAATATTATTGAGACCAGTACAGTACGATCAAAATTTGGAAAAGTATCGCACCATATCGTACTGGTCCTATAATAGAAAGCATTATATATAGGACCAGTATGGTACAGTATGATACTTTCTATTAACTGACTGTACTGGTTTTCTATATACCCTGATTTTCCTATATATACTCTATGTTAATGATCTCAATGAAATTAATAATGATTGATGTTGCATTCGTCAAAGAGTTCTTAATAAAAAAAAAAGTTTTTTTTCAAAAAAAAAAATTCCCTTTATAAAAATTAAATAAATCGAGGGAGGAAAATCAGTACAGTACAAAATATGATCGTATCGTACTGGTCCCAATAATATTATAGAATCAGTACAGTACGAATATAATTTGAAAATTCATACTGATCTGCAAAATCATATCGTACTGATCAGCTGAACTGTACTGTACCGGTTTTCCCTATACTCAAAAGTCAGATACAGCATTTATTATTAAAAAATTAATTTTTATTAATTTTTAATAACAAAATGCTATCCCAAAAGTCGAGGTGATATTTATTAATTAAAAATTAATAAAAATTAATTTTTAATAATAAAATGCCATCCCGAAAGTCAGAGGTGGCATGAATTATTAAAAAAAATAATGTTTAATAATAAAATGCTACCCCAGAAAGTTAGACGTAGCATTTATTATTAAAAAATTAATTTTTAATAATTTTTAATATTAAAATGTTGTCCCGAAAGTCAGAGAAGGCATTTATTAATAAAATATTAATTTTTTTATTAATTTTTATAACAAAATGCCATCCTGAAAGTCGAAAACAGCATTTATTATTAAAAAAAAAATTTTAATAATAAAATGCCACCCTGAAAGTCAGACATAGTATTTATTACAGCTAATTTCATAATTTGTAAACCACTAATAAATTGCGACTGAATTTGACTGAAAAATTATTAATGGTTCACGAATTATGAAATTAGCTGTAATAAAAAATTAATTTTTATTAATTTTAATAACAAATGCATTTCCAAAAGTCGGATGCAGCATTTATTAATAAAAAATCAATTTTTATTAATTTTTAATAACAAAATGCCATCCTGAAAGTTAGAGGTAGCATTTATTATTAAAAAAATTAATGTTTAATAATAAAATGCTGCCCAAAAGTCAGATGCAACGTTTATTAATAAAAAAAATTAATTTTTATTAATATTTTATATTAAAATACCGCCCTGAAATTCAGAGGCGGCATTTATTAAAAAATTAATTTTTTATTAATTTTTAATAACAAAATGCCATCCTGAAAGTTAGAGGCGGTGTAGAATCAACAATTTCATTATTCAAGGTGTAGCAATACAAAAGGAAATGATCAACAATATACAGTAAAAGATATAAGGAAAAGTCATATGATAAAAAGAGAAATAATCATTTTATTAAAAGAAAAGAATAATACTCAGATAAATTACGGACCGAAAAAGAAGATTACATGAGATAGATAAATCACAAAAGAAAATGATTCGGATAAATTAGTTACTGAAAGAAAATGGATAATTAATTAACCAAACAGAGGGTCAAGGAAAAAGAATAATTAATCAACCGGACGAAAGGTCTTATAAAAAGACTTGGAAAATATTTGAAAAATAACAATTGAAAAAGTTACACGAGAATGCAAGAAGGTTACACAAAAGCACACTCGTTAGGAAACTGGACTACATGAAAGTTTGTGTAATATAAAGGTTACACATGACCAAGGTTGCTTGTCTAAACTCATTTTGGATTTGGCAAAACGGTAAAACCTTTAGTTTCGCTAAATTTTTACTAAGTGT